GGTGCTTTTGTCGAGTCCCAGGAACTCAAGAGTCCAAGTCGTGCGCAACTCGTACTTCAACTCGGGCAAAACAGAGAGAATCCCGGGTTGGCTCTCGAGTTGCACAGCTTCCTCCGGTGTCGACCATCCATGGTTGAGCTCCATGAATCAAGAGAGTTGAAACACACGAATCTAAATTTGAAATGCGTAAAGTTGAAAGAGAAATTTGAAATACATAGGGTTGGAAGAGGATTTGAAATACATGAATTTTAAAGCAATGAAATACACAAAGTTAATTACATATATTTGTGTTAAATTCAAGTATATCATTATTTTGTAAAAATAACCTATGATATTGAATTTAAAATAGTTAAATTCAAATACACTCTCCAAAAATCACATTCCCAAACATACCAATGCTGAACATATAATGTGAATTGCATGTAGAGCTGCAGCATTCTTTTTCGTGTGATCAACCTTGTCTGAAAAAGGAAGGGCATCAGTACCCTTTTCGAACACGTCCCAAAGATCTTGAGTCAACAGATAATTTTTAAGGAAAATTGTCCATTGTTCATATTTATCAAGTTCGAGAAGAAATGGAACAATTGCATCGGAACCAATCTTAATTTTTACTAGAAGTGCTACACTTAGTTAATTCAAGAAGTATCGAATATTGGAGGAGATTGGGGAAAGAAAAGAACAAGGAATAATCAAGATGTATGATAACAAATAAAGATATCGAATATTGGAAGAGATTGGAGAAAGAAGAGAACAAGAGAGCAAGGAATAATCAAGATGTATGATAACAAATAAAGATATCGAATATTGGAAGAGATTGGAGAAAGAAGAGAACAAGGAATAATCAAGATGTATGATAACAAACAAAGATATCGAATATTGGAAGAGATTAGAGAAAGAAGAGAACAAAGAATAATCAAGATGTATGATAACAAATAAAGATATTGAGTATGATAACGAATAAAGATATTGAATATGATAACAAATAAAGATATTGAATATTAGAAGAGATTGGAGAAAGAAAAGAACAAGGAATGATCAAGATGTATGGCAACAAACAAAGATATCGAATATTGAAAGAGAATGAAGCAAAGAAAAGAACAAGGAATGAT